TGGAGCTCCAGATGCCGCCCTCAGGACCAGATGCACCCCTTGTGACCCGCCACGGGTGGTTATGGCTTGGGCAGGGATAGGGGAGATAAAGGTCAGGTTGGTACCTCAGGGGGAGCACAGCATCACAGCAGCACCCCCAAACCTCACCAAACATAAAAGGGGGCCTTGTGGCCCGTGGATGCTTTGTTGCTCCTTGAGGTCCCACCCCGTGGGATGGAATCGGCTGCCTTGGTGCTGGCCTCTGAGCTTGTGGTCGTGGGTGTACTTGGTGCCTTCATGATGTAGATGGTGGGTGGTGGTGTCTATCCTGGTGGGCGGATGGGGCCTGTCCACGGCAGGATCTCTGCTCCTGCCTTGCCACTGCCAGAGGACATTGCTTCCAAGGAGACATTTCCCAAGGGCGATGCTGGGGATGCAGGTGGAGATTTCCCAGGGGGCAACTCCTACTGCTGACAGAGCACCAACTTCTCCATGTCTGGCACGTCCTGTTCTGAGGTACCTACTCCCTGAGGAGTGTCTGGGATGGGCAGGAGCTCCGCCTGGAGCCCAGTGAAGACACCAAGGCACATCAGCGGTCCCTCTCGCTTGGTCCCTGCCCAACCAGAGCTGCCAGGGAGTTTCTTGGCCCGGGTCAAATCGCCACCATGGTCATGATCGCGATGTGGCTGGAAAGCTGCCTGGAAGAAAGAGACCTGGGGGTTCTAGTTGACAAACGGCTGAATATGAGCCGGCAGTGTGCCCAGGTGGCCAAGAAAGCCAATGGCATTCTGGCTTGTATCAAAAATAGTGTGACCAGCAGAAGTAGGGAGGTGATTGAGGCCCCTGTACTCAGCACTGGTGAGGCCACACCTCGAGTATTGTGTCCAGTTTTGGGCACCTCAATACAAGAGAGATATCGAGGTGCTGGAGCGAGTGCAGAGGAGGGCAACGAAGCTGGTGAGGGGGGTGGGAAACAAATCGTATGAGGAGCGGCTGATGGAGTTGGAACTGTTTAGTATGAGGAAGAGGAGGCTTGGGGGAGACCTCATCACTCTCTACAACTTCGTGAAAGGACACTGTAGAGAGGTTGGTGCTGGTCTCTTCTCATAGGTAATTAGTGAGAGAACGAGAGGGAATGGCTTCAAGCTCCAACAGGGTAGGTTTAGACTGAACATTAGGAAAGAATTTTTCACCAAAAGAGTGGTCGGGCATTGGAACAGGCTGCCCAGGGAGGTGGTTGAGTCACCATCCCTGGCTGTGTTCAAGGGCTGTTTAGATACAGTGCTAAGGGACATGGTGTAGGGGAGGACTTTGTAGAGTAGGGTAGATGGTTGGACTCGATGATCCCAAGGGTCTCTTCCAACCTAGATGATTCTATGATTCTATGATTCTATGAAGACCAAGAATCCAAAACAGAGCAGTGAAATATTGCTTTTATTTACATACTTTAAGTCATGAGGGTTAATGGTGCTACATGAGGCCAAGTTAGGGCAGAGTTTTACCCTAGGTTTGATTCTAAACTGAGATTATAGCTTCTGATGCCCTTGTCTTAGACTGGTGAGAGAACACACACACAGGGAAGTGAAAGGTATTTATAGTAAGAATACAGGACTCCACCAAATATTATGCTTCATCTGCACATTCTGCATCATACCCAACAAAAATTTTTGTCCCGGTGGAACAAGTACCATGTGAGGGCTACCAGTGAGCTATCACCTGGGGCAATGAGGGAATCTAAACGGAAACAGAGTGAAAACAAGCTACTAATGGCATGACAGCTGACAGTGGTTATAATCCAAGCTTTATGCTGGTATCTGAACTGACATACAGCTTGGATGCTGAGGTATATCAGGTAGGCAAGGATTTGCTGTGGCTGCTGCAAACATGTCTTTGAGAGAATGGACTGCTTTTTGTCAACTCAGTCCTTTTTGATCTAATAACATGGATCAGGTGAAACTATTCACACTATTTTTTTCCTGTCAAATATTTCAAATGTTTTGGAGCCTTTAGTCCTGGTTTAGAAGCTAGGCAGCCTTGGCTTTCCTTTCCAATCCAGTTCATACTCTCTTGGCAGACAAATCTTCACCATTTCAAATGATGAATTAAACACGTCCATCCCTACTTACAGCCACTCGCCCAAACCGGCAACAGCAGCTGCTGCTGGTGAAAAAATACAACTGGAAGTGCAAGTGAAGGTTGTGTCTTCCCAGAAACCTTCCTCCATAGTAAGTAATGCATAGAGTGCTGGGTCCAGTCCTGGGTTCCCAAGTGCAACAAAGATGTGGACGTATTGGAGCAAGTCCAGAAAAGGGCCACAAAGATGGTGAAGGGACTGTATCATCCCTCATAAAAGAAGAGGCCAGGACTGTTTAGAGTGGAGGAGAGAAGGCTCGTGTATAAACACCTGATGGGGAAGAAAAGAAGATGGAGCCAAAATCTTCTCAGTGGTATCCTGTGAAAGGCCAAGAGACGATGGGCGCAAATTAAAATACAGGAAATTCCATTTAAACATAGGAAAAAACTTTATTGTGACAATGATCTGTTAGGTTTCCAAGGGGGTCTATGGAGTTCTCATCCTTGGAGATATTCAAATCCCAACCAGTTACAGTCATAGGCAACTTTCTCTAGCTGTCCCATCTCTAACTAGGGAATTGGACTGGATGATTTCCAGAGGTGCCTGTCAGACTCAAGTTTCTTTGATTTTGAGAAATAGAACACACTAAATATGCTCAATTAATCCTACATGTGGACCCACTTGTTGCAAATACAAGTAACTACATGGATCTAAATGAGACAGCCTAGAGTAGCTCCCTCCTCCAGACAAGTCCTACACCTGAGATGTCTGAACTCCTGCATCTGATCTGCTTTGAGTTCTGCCCAGTGGCAGCAGCCCACTAGCAGTGAGCTCTCCCTCCACAAAAATGTCAAAGGGGCAAGTGGACTACAATGAAAAGGAATAATATCATGGTCATGGCCCTGGCACAGGCCTCGGTCCACATCCCCAGAAAGGCTGCACACTGCCTGTGGTTTGATTTCTGAGGTGGGCAATGGACTCCTTCACCGTGTGGTTGGTGTGAGCTAATCCCTGCCAGGGAAATCCCCTGCCAGGGAAAAGGGAGAGCAAACTTGGCTCCCCCACTTTCCCACACCATTCCTGCTCACAGGGCACTTGTGTCTAACTAACTGCCCTCCCAGAGAAAACCCCCTAAGGATGAACAATTTCTCAGAGATACCAGAGCACCACTCTCCCAGAAAAGTTGCTGAATGTCAGGCACCTCAGTAGGAGTGGAGGGTTAAATGACTCTAAGAACTTACTCTCACCCCATGATTACGAGCATGGAGAAAAATAAAGAAGGAGAGACACAGTTCAATTTTGTTTTTATTAGATCCTCACCTTTTTTTTCGCTAGGTTTTTAAAGGCAAGAGCCTTAGAGCAAAAGAGGGAATGAGTCACTGCAATAGCTTCTCATTAAACTAATGACAAGACATATAAACAGAGGGAGCTCGCTTGGCTAATGTTCCTACCATCCGCAACACTAAGCCAT